CGGCGCGGGGCGTGGCCAAGGTCCCTGCGGACGTGGCCGCGAGATTCCGGCGTCTGGCCGGAGGCGCGTGGTTGTAGTGGCCTGCAGGCCTGCGGCTGGGCGCCGGAAAGCTGGGAAGTGGAGTGGGCAGGGCAGTTTGTGGCCTTTCGGGTAGCCTTTGCTTTCCTCCAGGTCCAGATTGGATCTTTTGCCTGCCAAGGTCGAGGGTGACGTGCATCCTCTCCCGGCCTTGGCGCTTTGCGGTGCCGGGGAGACGGAACCAGCGTCCAGTCCCGGGCCTCGCAGCCTGCGGTCCCCGCATACACAGACCTCCCTCCGATCCCAGGAAACTTAAAGTATGGGGTAGAGGGCGAGACGTGGGGACGTTTGACCAGGTGGTTAAATTAAGAAGACCCAGACGCTGCAAAGCAGTTTCTGACCTGTGGAAGTAAATGCTCAATGTTCTGCCGAAATGTATCTCAAGTTTTTAAATCATAGCATGGTTTTTAGTAGCTGGAGGTTTCGCAGTCTTTTCCGTTTAAAAGTTACCCATTCGTATAGATTAGTATTTCTTGATTTGAACCAAAAGCATGGACCGGCGCTCACTTCCTTCGGAAAATCACCCGGAGGTAAAGCCTCTCCCCTGAAATGGAGGTGAAAACGAACATGCCTACTATTTGCTACCTCATTGCGGGGCAAAATGGTAACTAGTTTTTTTAAAGCCTGTTAGATTATGTAATCAGTAGTAAAACCTAAGTTTTGCCTGAGTTTAAGGATTTTTAGGAAAAAAATTTCCAAAATGTTCGCGGTAATGTAATGACAGCATCAGTGGGCAATAGCAAGGATCGAGTTATGGCGAATAGGGAAAGTCATAAACGGGGGCGATATTGTAATTAGTATCTGGAGCCAAGACCCCAGTCCCCACATATGATTTCCATAGTTGCGTACATTGGTAAGGGGTTACGCCTTCCTCAACTACTAGATAAGGGTTGATCCTTATTGAATATAGAACAATAAAAATTTCCTTTTTAGCGTCTTCATTATTATTTAGACTAAAAGACCACCATTTTTACCGCAGAGTAATTGTAGACCCAAGAATAGTCAATTGGGAAAAAAAAAAAAAAAAAATCCAAATGAACCAGAGAGTCTAGCGGCAAGAACGTGGGAGCAGTCAGACCTGGTTTCAATCTCAGCTCCTGAACAGAGTAAATACAATAAGGAGAGAACTTGGGAGAAGTTAGTTAATTTCTTTAAGCTGGGGGTTGCTCATGCTTTTAATTTGTTTTGGAGATTTTTTTGGGGAGAGGGGATGTTAAATTTTGTGAAAGCTCAGTTTGCATTACCTAAGGAAATGAAGTTTCTTAATTTAAAAATGATTTTTAATCCTTATCTAATTTTTATTCTACAAACTCTTAAACATTTCAGTGCATTTCACTTTTTTTTCACGGACAGGTGTTCCCTAAACTTCCCGTGGAACATTAGTCCTTTGCAAAATGTTTATAGATGCTTCATGGAAAACATTTCTAGCATCAATATTGGGGAAAACACAAACCTGTTGCTGTGAGGTTACTGGAAGTACACCTATGTAGCATTCTTGCCAAAAACATTGAGCCTGAATCTATGAGGAAACACTCAGATAAATTCAAAATGTGACTTTTTTTTTTGGACTTTTCACAGAAGGACTGATCTGCATTAAAGCCCAATGTGAACTGGATAGGACTATGGATTTTTAAAAAGTTAGATGGGACATTTTGTGGATAATTGGGGAAATTTGAACAGCGAAGCATAAATGTTTTGGTGACTTAATTTCTCAGGTATTTAATGATATTGTGGTTCTTAGGTGTATGCTTAAGTATTCAGGGATAAGGCCATGATACCTACAAACTTTCAGGTAGTCCAAGCCGAAAAAGAAAAAAGTGTGTGTGTAGAGAGAAAATATGGCACTGTGTTCATTGAGGTTCTAAGTGAATAATACAATTGACCCTTGAACAATGCCCAGGGTTGGGGTGCCAACCCCCTCTCCCCGACACAGTCGGAAATCCAAATACAGTTTTTGACTCCCCCAAAACCTAACTGCTAATAACCCCCTGTTGACTGGAAGCCCTACTGATAACATAAACAGTCGATTAACATGTTTAATACTGATTCCTTTCAGGCCCAAAGGTACCTATGTTATGTTTTGTTTAATGTGATAGGCAGTTTTACAACATCTAAGGTCACCATTCTTGCCCTTTAAGGACACTAGAAACCCATTTCTGCCTCCCAGCAGGTGGCAGCAAATCAATACAAGGTGCATAAAGTTGTCATTTTCTTGTCCTGGTAGATGTTCTGGAGGTTACAGATTATGACTTTCTTAGCTAGAAAAGCAAAGAATATTGCTTCTTTGTAGGAATTTATATCAATTTATCAGTCAGCTGAGAGATATATTTAATTTATGTGACTAATTTGTATTATAGTTATATTAATATTGTTCATTGTCTCTCACAGAACCAAAAGTCCATTTGTAAACAATTCGGTTTGATAACACTCAGTAATGCTCATATGTTATCTCCATAGATAAACAATACTGTATGTAGCCATTAATTGGTTAATACCATTAGTGACACAACATTTCAGAATTGATGGGATACAGATATTAGAGGAGAATTTATAGCTTTTTCATTCCTTTATTAGGAAAGAAGAGTTAATCAATGATCTAAATCAAAGTCAGCAAAATAATCCATAGGCCACATCTGGGGCATAGCCTTTTGTATACCCTAGAAAATTTAACTAATTGAAAAATAGAGACAAATCACCAATATCTGGAATGAAAGATCATCAAAGATCCTACCAACATAAGACAGTTGTTCTCAACCAGAGGAGTTTTGTCCCCAAGGAACATTTGGCAATGCCTGGAGACATTTTTGGTTGTCACAACTGGGGAGACTGCTTTCAGCATCTAGTGGGTAGAGACCAGGATGCTGCTAAACATTCTACAGTGCTCACGACATTTTTCAAGCCCCAAATATCAATAGTACTAAGGCTGAAAAAATCCAAAACCATAAAAGGAGAATATTACAAATGTAGGTCAATAAATTTTGATAACTTAGAAATAAATTCCTTGAAAAACAAAATTTACCAAAACTGACTGAAGAAGAAATAAAAAATCTGAGGAGTTGTACATCTATTACAGAATTTGAATTCATAATTAACCACTTTACAAAGAAAAGTCCAGGCCCAGATGACCTAACTGGTGAATCCTATCAACATTGAAAGAGCATAATGTCAATCTTACGTAAACTTACATAAACTCTGAGAAAATAAGAGGAGAGAATAGTATGTAACTAATTTATAATGACAGCATAGCCCTAATCTGACAAAGAAAAAAATCACCAATGTCACTCATGAATATAGATACAAAAATCCTATGCAAAATACTAGCAAATTGAACAGCAGTATAGAAAAAGGATGAAATGGTCAATTGGGATTTTCCCCAGAATGCAAGGTTTACCTAACATT